TAAGCTAACAATTAATAAGACGATGTCAGAGGAATTTGTGCACAAATTATCATCACTCACCAATCAGTGCTGTCGCTCTCTATACACAGTTCACGCGATTGCAAAGTGAAAGCAAAAAACAAGCGCAAATTCAAACGCGATTTCAATATGTCACATATTGACAGTGGCTCATCGATGCCAATGACATAATTACCCAGCTACATTTCTGAAAGAATGCAAAAGCATTGACATATATTTTTCCTTCCTACGATAGGCCGACGGGCAGGGCAGAGATAGATTTTGGTAGCCCGACTGGAAAAATCACTAGCCCCGGGACGTCGGGCTAGCGATATTGCAAGCCCTGTATCTGATTGAGGAATCACTCATCTTTGGAAAAGAGAGTTTATTACAGAGAAATGTCTCTTTCCAAAAAAAAAGCTATACTATCCGCTTCTTCTGGGCTATATTCTCAGCAGCATAAGGAGAATCATGTGCTAACAGCTGTCTAAATGACTCGGCTAAAGTTAGTAGCATGCTTGTTGTTTTTGTCTTCGCACTAGGATGATGTCGGCGTAAATGTGCAGTCATATTCGTTGTGTTCCCACTAGTGCTGTCAGCGTAAATCTCGTTGAAATGACCTTAACGCCACAACACGGCAAATCTCCGTTAACGAGCTACCCCTGATCGCCCCGTGCATGGGGCTGGACGGCCAACACGTTAACGAGCTAACTGCGCTAACACACTAGTTCCCACCAAAGTAATTGAGCATTGCGTGGCACATCCAACATACTGTTTTACTTTAGTCCATGACGCGCTGGAACTCATGTGCAATTAATGACTTTGCAATGCACAGCCATGTCTTCACTTTAGACCTGTAGTCAAGACCGCCTAAACCAAGACCAGGACAATACCAAGACCAGAGGGTATCGAGACCAAGACAGAGACAAAAAAAAGTCTTTAAACTGCAGCCAGCTGCTGCTTCGTTTACGGGTGTCAGGCACATTTATGTGTTTTTGCTCTCGCACAGCCCTCCTCACCGCTGTCTACTGTCTCACTCATTCACTGAGAGGACAGACGCACGCTCCACTTGACTGTCGCGTCTCTCACCCTCTCTGTTTTTCACATAATGATATTATCCTATATCCTGGCATCTGATTGGCCACAATATGGAGGGATTGGAGCGTAGCTGAGTCACTAGGTTATTCTGTTTAGATGTTGCATATTAGATTGCCCCTCGTTTCCTTACCCCCTGTGTCCCCCCTCCGTGTATCTGTGAGTTCCCATGCCTCATTTCTCCTCCTTGTGTTTTCCCCAGCCTGCTATGTCTGTGCTCTCCCTGTGTTCTCTCTTCCCTTCCTGTCTGTGTCTCTGTGTACTTCCTGTTTTACTTTGATAGTCTCCCGTCAGTGTACGTCACGTTGTGTTTGCGCCTGCCCTGTCTCATTAAGATTATCAGTGTCACCTGTGCTCCCCATGTGCTCCCACGTCCCTCGTTATCCTTCTGTGTATTTATGTCTGTGTCTCCCTCAGTTCTGTGTCACGTCCTTCCTCAAACTGTGTGACTTTCCCTGTGTCTCTCCGAGTTAGTATTTCCCAGCTCCGTGAGCTTGCATTTGGGTCCAATTCCTTTTTTTTTTTATTTCTTGCCTGTCCCGTTTGGTTCTTTTGCATCAGAATTATTGTCTAAAGGCGAAGAAAGATGCCCAACGGATTTACTTTACCAAATGGACCATCCCGGCCTTGCCGTAATGGTCTATTTGATTCACCTTTTTTTTTATTCCACTTGTTAAATACGGGACAGACTTGAGTGGGGAAAACAAAGGGGAGAAAGAAAGGGAAAGAAAAACAGCGGGGAAGAGGGACGGGGATAAAGGGCAAAAAACAAAAACCAACAAAATAAGCAGACAAAAAATGCATCTATCAATCACCTGGATCACCTGTTGAGAAAGAAAGAAGAAAAAGAGAGCAATAAAAATGAGAAGCAATACAATAAACAACATCACGATGATCTATGGGAATGTAACAGTAAATACTAAATATTAAACATTATTGTGCAGCACATAAGATCAACAGAACACAGTGTGCTTTGAGGTAGGAGCCAAAAAGGGTGTAGTTTGTGGGTGTGATCACCCGTGTGTACACCTGTGAGCATGGACGCGCTTGTTTTTTAAAAGGTTCCTTCATGTAATGATCTGCTAGAGGGTGTGGGGGGGCCACAGCCCCGTCCTCCAGGGCATGAAGCAGGTATGGAGGAGATCAAAACTCCAGACATCCAGAGGCCCCCAGAACACAAGAGACCAAGGAAGACCAACAGAGGGGCAGCCACGCCACTGTCCCAGAAAGAGCTGAGGAGAGTCCCAGATGAGGGGGGGTTGCAGTGACGCACCCGTGAGCTCCGCTGGCAGCCAGCTGTGCCTGAGTGACCGAGCCCCAGGCCGAGAGGCCGGGGGCACCCCACCTCCGAAGTGGCCCGAGCGAGCCCCAGGCTCCAGGCCCCAACAAGCAGCCACCAAGGAGTGAGCCGGTGGCAGACACAGGCATTTGGGTCCAATTCCTGCCTGGACACAGCGTATCATGGCACAAATATGCATCAGCCAAAACTGTCTGCAGAGAACATAATAATGACAGTACCAGGGCCCACTAGGATGACCGTGACTCGTGTGACAAACATCAAGTCATGCACAGCTCAACACAGAAAATATTCTTGAAATGACAACTTTAGAAGGAAGGCATGTTTTGGGGGAGAAGTGGAAAGTGCTGAATATAATCACAGAGCACACAGAGAAAAGTACTAAACTGAATCAATTTCAGCTTTCATTTTTCATGATGTATATTGTATTAATAATTAAATTTCATTATCTGTGTCTTTACCAGACATTTGCCACACAGGCGTAGATACTGTAGGTTCAGTGAATGCTGAAATTGCACTGATTGGAATATACTGGACATTCAAAGCTAAGATTCAGCGCACTGTGTTGGAGGCTGGGATTGGATGACTTCATCATACAGTATATACAACCTTTGATCATCGTTTATGTCCAGTTGAGAATGAATCTGTGCACTCACATATTAAATGAACTGAAATCAGTAGTGTGATCTCCAGTCTTGATATAAGGAATGAGAGACTAAGGAGCTTGGAAAGAAAAGCGTCTGGACTTCTTTGAGTTGCTTGAAGACGTTTCACCTCTCATCCGAGAAGCTTCTTCAGTTCTAAGGGTCAAATGGTGGAGAGTCCCAGATTTAAAATTCTGCTGAAAAGAGGTGAATCAGCAGAATTTTTGCTGGAAAGAGGTTTTTGCTGAAAACAGCTGAAAAAGCTGGGATTTGTGCTGAAAATAGTTTAAAAAGTTTAACTGTGAACTGAAAGAAATGTTGCCATAAGCGGGATTTGAACTCCAGCCTCCCAGTCTCAGAACGGCTGCTCATCTCACTGAGCTAAAACACAGCTCAGCCCAATACAGACTTGCGGGGTGGGTGGCTGTAACTCAGGTGGTAGAGCAGGTCAGCTACTAACTGGAAGGTTGGTGGTTCGATCCCAGGCTCCACCAATCTGCATGTCAAGTGTCCTTGGGCAATGCATCCTTTGGAGTGTGAATGTGTATGAATGTTAGAAAAAGTTCTTGGGTGAATGAATTAGTTGTATGCTCAGAGTAAAAATGTGTCTATTATGCTCTATAAGAAGCAGTCCATTTACCATTTACAGACTAGTGAAGAAACATTAGTCATGAGCTCCAGTCAACAGATGTCTCATTACGTGTCTATTATGAGTGGCAGGCAAACAAGGAGGTGCTGCATGCACCCATTTCACTCTAGTCCCAGGAGGAGACTAACACTGAGAGAGGAGTCAAATGCAGCATCTCGGAGGAATCAAGAATAAGTGCTTTTCAACGGAGAGTGATTTTTTTTAATTTCACTGAAGGGATTCACTGAAAAGACACTGGGAACAAGAGTTGTCTGATGTAATGTTTACACTGCGAGACACTGAAAGGCTGCTGTGTACGTTATTACATGAACATCTGACCAAGACTTTACTTCTGACTTCATGTCGTTACATTTAAAATATGAAGACAAATATTATACACATGATGGCATAAGAATCAGTCTTTGCCTTGTTTTTATAAATCTGTAACTAATCTATTGGAATCACAGTCATACTGCCAGACTTAATAAGAGCCGTTGCTAACAGAGAAGCGCTCTGAGACTGTTGTTGTTGCCAAGGCAACCACTAATGTGCAGCTAGGCTAACAGGAGCTTGCTAACTTTAATAAGACCGTGTTTTATACAACAGCACAGCCATATAAGGAATCAGCTGATCACTGCCTGCAGCGGAATTTCTTTGCTTTTTCTTATTTACGATTGAAGTCACCGCCTTATTGGGCAGGTTGGTAATGTGACGGGGACAGGCTGCACGCTGTCTGCTCCGGAGAAATGTGCTGTCAGACACTGGGTAATGCTCAAGATGCCTAATGATAGCGGCTAATGTCAGCTTAATAGTAGCTGCCAGCCTGTGTGTTGTAGTCAAACAACCGCACTGAGTTCTATTGTTAATGAATTAGTTTCTCTTTTACAGAGAACTGGCAATAGTGCGTTAGTTTCACTGAATAAAGGCTCGTGTATCCATGACTGCGCTGTGTTTGGCACAGTGTTTCGTTTGCATACACGCTTTCATGTGTGGACTATGCCCGGTGACCGTGGCTGTCATGCTTGTGTTCGTGTGCAGCGGAGACAATGCAGTGCTGAACACTGATGCACTCATACATGTGTGTATGTGGGGGGACTGTTTTGGTTTGTTCAATAACGAAACCGTCCTCTACCAACCCGCGGTTCACCCCTGTCCGTCTTCGCATCACTGTTAACCTTCCCCCCAATGAAATGACGGCTGGCTGTACCTGAGCCTGGTGGCCGTGCAGCCGGGCTAAATACTCGGCGCAGTCAGCGCTATGCACGGCATTGTCAGAGCCTCTTAAGCTTACCGGCAGTCAGAAAACAGCGCTCCCCATGCTTCGGCCACCGAAGCTTACCTTGCTTTGGCCGATCTCTCGTAACTCCATCCCGTCCCAGTCCCCAGATCTCCGAAGCCCGAAGCGGGATAATTCCTCTCCATGAAAGAAAGAGCTGGATGAAGATGCACAGATAGTGAGCGGGAGGGAGGGGGGAATATCTTCACTTCCAGCGCCCGATTCTGTTTATTCCTCTGCTTGACAAGCCTGTAGACTGAGTGGGGATCGGGGGCGGTGTGGGGAGCCGCGGCGGACAGGAGCACCTCCTCCCCCCTCCTCTCCCCGTATATTTAACTGTCTATTGTCTCTCGTGTTAAGCCGAACAGATGCTCCACGTCGCAGCTTTAGTAAGAGAAATTATATTCACGCTGCTCCGATAGCTGCAGCTTACTCGCTCTTTTTGCGTTTTGTTCACATGACGCCATTTTTAAGAAGAATGACTTGGCTGGCGTGATCGCCTTCTCTCTTACACGCATGCACGCCTTCGCAGTGTGCTGTAGACCATTGTAAACACAAAACAAAAACTAAGCTTCTACAGCAGTTTTACCTTTCTATGACAAACAACACAAAGGCTGCAAACATGTCCAGAAGAACTTCCTCGTGATTCTAATTTAATCTACTACTTGCATGCTTATTTGCTGGCTTTGCAAGTCACAACAAGTTATACAATGACTGGAGGCATGTGAAATTGTTACATGATTTATTATATAAAATGCATCTTGGTTTTTCTTGAACACAAATGCACAAACACAGCACAAAAACGAAGTCTTAAGTGATCAGACTAGTGACAAATGATTAGCTACGGTCCACTTTGGGACTGTCTTTGAACTGCACTCCTAAGGAAAATATGTATATTTTAAAAAACAACCAGAAATTTTCCCCAAACCATCAGTGTCAAGGTTATCACACAGTGACCTGCAGGGCTTTCATTCATTGTCACCTGGATCAGCAGATACCGACGGCGCACCCCTGTGGTCAAAGACAGGAAGAAAAACTTTGTGAATAGCAGCATGATCAATGAACGTCCAGCTGTTTCCGTTCCTATGAAAAAAAAGGTTTTTAGAAAGACGGGGGTGCAGTTAGTTTGAAAGCAAATAAGAGAACTGAACTATTTGTGCAACATCTCTAAAGTTAGAAATATCCTGTCTCAGAGTGACGCTGAAAAACTAGTTTATGCATTTATTACTGCCAGGCTGGACGACTGTAATTCATTATTATCAGGAAGTCCTAAAAACTCCCTGAAAAGCCTTCAGCTGATCCAAAATGCTGCAGCAAGAGTCCTGACAGGGACTAGAAAGAGAGAGCAGATTTCTCCTGTTTTGGCTTCCTGTTAAATCCAGAATTCAAAATCCTGCTCCTCACATACAAGGTCTTAAATAATCAGGCCCCATCTTATCTTAATGACCTTGTAGTACCATATCACCCTATTAGAGCACTTCGCTCTCGCTCTGCAGGCCTACTTGTTGTTCCTAGAGTATTTAAAAGTAGCCTGAGCCTGGTTCTGCTGGAGGTTTCTTCCTGTTAAGAGGGAGTTTTTCCTTCCCACTGTCGCCAAAGTGCTGCTCATAGGGGGTCATATGATTTTTGGGTTTTTCTCTGTATGTATTATTGTACGATCTACTGCACAATATGACTGTTGTTGTGATTTTGAGCTGTATAAATAAAATTGGATTGAATTGAATTGAATGTGTGATTGCTTTCTTCATGCCATCACACACATTTGGTATTGTTTGAAGTAACATTTCATTTTCGATGTGCACATACAACACATACCATACACTTGCAAACACCACTGCATACACCACTTTACACCACTCATATAGACTTTCTCGCATCATGATTGTCATTGATTATCATACTATAATCAGTGTAGTGCATATATGGATGGTTCCATGTTCTTCATCTTCTAGATAAGTGGACCAAAGTTATTTAGACATTGCCTGGGACACCGAGTGCCAATATCTATACAAATATTTCAAATTTGTATGCCATTTCATTTACTGCAAACATGAGTACATTTGACAGTTAAATTAAACACTCATCTGCAACCTGCTTGCTTTCCCTTCTTTGTGTCTTTACTCAATCAGTTTCACTTGTGTTGAATTTGTTACACCTGTTTTCAATTAGTCACCTTCCCGTGTATAAATACACAACATGTGTTGTGCTTCTCTCACCAGAATGTCTTAGTACTCTTGGTAGTCAGTCTTTCCAGTGTTCCTTGTGTGTGCACGCTTTGCCTTCCACTTACCCTGAATATGGTGGTGGTGGAGCATCGTGCTGTCCACTGTGGTTCAGGGCATCGTTGTAGCTAGGCAGACCGGGTGCAGTGATCCCACCTAGGGGCACCGTCTCCGGAGCTGATGTATGCCCATCTACTGCAATTTGTACTGGAGGTCTGGAACAGCACACAGCACAACACGCCAATTTTAAACCCCTTTAGTTGCTGTATTGCTAATAAACAAACATAAAAACGTGAAAATGTTTATACACTATATTGCCAAAAGTATTTAGTCGTCTGACTGTATTTGGTCATGTAAACTGGGCTGATATCCCATTTCTAATCCATGGGTTTAATATGATGTCGGCCCACCGTTAGCAGCTATAACAGCTTCAACTCTTCTGGGAAGGTTTTCCAGAGAAGGTTCAGGAGGTTTCGACCATTTTTCCTGAAGCACATCTGTGAGGTCAGACACTAAGCATGTGCCCTGCCTTAGGTGCCACCTATTCCTAATCCTTATAGGTATAACTGAGTGATTTGCATAAATTAGTGCTATTTCTTAAATTTGTAAAATCTGTGACAAATTGTATTGTTTAATTTTTTAGTCTGTTAGTGTCTTGGAGCAACTGTAACCTACATCATTTCCTTAGTGATCAATAAAGTTTTCTGATTCTGGATGGAAGATGAACAACTTTAATAAGTGACCGACGCGTTTCAGCTTGTGACCCTGATGAAGGCCACAAGCCGAAACGCGTTGGTCAATTATTAAAGTTGTTCATCTTCCCTTAAGTGTTGCTGGAGTTCCTGCTTTGTGAATTCTTTCATCCTCTCCATGCACCTTGGAAGCAGATGAAGTTGTGCCAGAAATCTTTGCTGTGATTCTGGTACAGCTGACTCTACTCACCATTAAAGCAAAAGTACTTAGGTCCAAAAAAGGAGAGTTCTAGTCCCAGTGAGCCTTGATGGGGTGACTGTGGCTCAGGCGGTAGAGCAAGTCATCTAGTAATCAGAAGGTTGGTGGTTCAAGCCCTGGTTTCTCTGGTAGCCACATATCCTTGGACAAGATACTAACCCCAAGTTGCTCTCTGATGCATCCATGCTACGACTGTGAGTTCTGTATTTTTCTGTCATTTAAAGTTTTTTGACTTGCTTCAATTTTTAGTGAGCCATACCTGGGTTTTGTTCTTTCATTTTTTAAGGTGACAGTGGTTTGTCCATCTCTTTTGGTTTAATTACTAATAAAAATATTAATAAACTTTAATAAACAATTCTGCCTTCATGTCTCCTTTTTTCAACCCGGACACTTTGTGTTACTTTCCCACATCCCCTGGACCTTTAAGGGAAAAATAACAATAAAGAATTATAAATTTGCACAAACTCTGGATTAAGAATAAGGGATTAATATTGTCTTCTTGTCTACTTTGTATTTTTTTTAATGGTCTACTGGTTTTTAAAAGACTTTACTGGGAAATGTTACTGGTGTTGGTTAGGGTGTCACTTTGTTCCACATTTCTCTGTTACCAGATGATCCACATCGGAGCAAACGTACCGGCCAGACCTCCGTGCACCCTTTTTCTTGGCTTTGTAGCAGTACACTCCCAGCACCGTGGCAATTACAGCAGACACTAGTACAGCCAGGATCCCTGCCACCAGACCTGACACGTCCAGTCTGTTTGCACTACCTTCAAAGACAAACATCATCACCCCACTCAAAAAATGTTTCTTCAATAGTTCTCCTGTTACTCAGTCAGACAATCTGTAGCCAATCACTACAGCAATGACTTCAGTCGTGATACTGTTGGAGGTTTGAAGACGTAGATAAAACAGCAAAATTAGAAAATATACAAAATATACAATCGACAAAAAATAGCAATATGGAAAAAAGAAAGTGTCATCCCAACTACTACATAAAATACATTCGTCATTAGTATGCACATTTGAACAATGAAATGAAAAGGTTAGCATAGTGATGCTAAAGTATTACCTTGATTGGTGTACGTTTTCCAAAATTTTTCCTAGAAATGGAAGCCAATGAAGATTAAATGAAGAGGTCACCTTGAATAAGTTATATCAAATTGCTCAAATACTAAGAGAAAAGGTTTTGTATTTTAAATATTAAAATAAAAAAAACATGTATATTTAGGTGATAAACGTGTAAATAATGGTTAAATTAAACTGATAGTTTTTCATTCTAAGACTCCAGATTAAAAACAGGTTCTACAGTCAAAGAAGAGTCACCGTCTTCGCAGTGTCCTCAAAAATCTCTCTGGCTTCCTCGTAGTTGCAAATCTCTTCCATGCACTCCCTCTCCACATCACCAGGCACAACCAGCTCAAAGTCCCAGCTGTTATAGAGCAGTGAACGGGACAGGAAGGATGCAGCTTCTGTCTCATCCACCAACACTGGATCTCCTACAGGGTGTAGTTCACTGTCACTGATAATCAAAAACATAACTCATACGGACATCAAAAGTCAAACTCTCTAGTCTGTTGTCTAAGCTCCAGATTTCCCGTAGTATCTCTGACCCCTCTTTTTATGGTTCATGTGGCGAGGGATGCATTCTCAAATGTACTCAGGGAGCTTCAGCCATCAGACCCCACCAAACACTCAGACAGTGGGATACTGGGGTTTTCTGTGATTCTGTTTAAAATCACAAAGCTGGTTTTGACTGCTCCATCGCTGGATGAGTAACTTGGCAAAAAGTCCTTGTTGCTTTCGAGCTCAGATGTCCATTTCTGCTCTTCGTTAGTTTTTGTATTCCTGTGCGTGCTTAGTCTAGTAATGGTGATTCAAATTGTAATCCTTAAAAACTCTTGTGCTCTCCACAAACAAAGCTTTGACTTCAGTAAACAAGTACTTATAAGTGCATTTCAGCAGCTCCCAAATTCACATCTCTGATAATTGGTTCCAACACATTTACAGTGAAGCGGCATTTTCTTGCACACACATATGTAAATGTTAAAAAAAATAGCCGTCAAAAACAACGCTGTGTTATGATTTCACACAAAATCACAAAAAACAAACTGTGAAAGCTGAGAGTGTCTGGTGGCTGAAACTGGACAAAACTGGATTATTTACATTTGAATGCTAATTTTCTGTGGAGGTCCATCATGGACCTACTTTAATGCCAACGGGAGATTTTCAGTGTGGTAGCAGTCTCCCTATCAACTTCTAAAAATGTATATTATGAATTATAATTGTAATTATTGTTATTAATAATAACGTTGTTGTTGCTGAGTATTTCTGACACTTCTGATCTAATGAAGGTATAATTCACACACACGCTCACCAAAATTAGACCACAGAAGATTAGAAAATGCTGCCTGCTGTGATAAGTCTTGATTTCTGCTGCAACATTCAGATGGTAGCGTGGTATTAAGGTATCTGTGAAAGATCCTTTCAGGATTCTGCTTCCTGTGGTGCTCGGTGCTCTGGGACTGTTAGTTCCAGCTGACCAACGTTTAGTTTCATGCACAGCCTACCTGGAGATTCATGCTGACAACCACAGTCACATCTCACTCCAGAGGAGCATCTTGGCGATGTGGGGGAATGAGACATTTGTATTGTGTATATGTGGATGAACAACTGTGTGATGCTAATGTTTCCAGTACTTTTTTCAATCTGTACCACAAACAATCCAAGTGAGCTGTGCAGGCCCAGCGTACTAGAAAGATCAACCTAACGTGGGTCATGCAGAGAGGTAGGATGGAGCATTAGGAGTGGTTGCCTTTCTCCTCCTCATGGCGTCCTGCTCATCACCACTGTGTTTATGTGCTTAAAGAGAAATCACTTCCTAGTAATGAAAACTGATTCTGAAGTACAACTTCACCAGTTCATCTACACAAAGCAGAATGTATATACACCATATATATATATGTTTGTAGATGGTATAGCAGCCGTGGCCGTTTGTCTTGAAACAGCTGTAATCTACACATTTCAAAATTTTGACTTTATTCTCACAACAATGTTTTCTTTTGCGTTTTTCTTAATGGCACCCTAATACTCCTTCATAGGAAAGCCAGTGGTGCTATATAGAATTTGTTTTTATTGTTATTTATTCTATATTCTGCTACCAAGGAGCTGCTTCTAATTTCACTTAACATCTGATGTTTAATGGCAATAAACTACTCAGATTCACAGAAGAGCAGTTTGGTTTTCCTCTAGTCGTGCTGTTGTTGCAAGGCACGTTTGTGTAACTGAAGCATTACCACAAATTATAAAGCTAATTTTTATGAAGTGACAGGAGACAGGTGTGGGTTACCTGGTTGGTGTCTGTACGTGACGGAGCAGTGGGCCATCTGCACGAGGGACAGTCCGTTCATCCACAGCAACAATAACGCGGCTGTCGAAGCACAAAACTACACAGGAAAAAGTGCAAGAGCACCTGTGAAAACACTTGTAGTTAGAAGCCCGAGTATGAAGATGATCCTCCAACACTGACCTGTCCAACACAGCTGCTCCATTTGGCTCCAGTTTGTTCCATCTGTCAAAGCTTTCCTGAAGAAAAACAAACGTATTTCTCTTGGTTTCACCAAAAACAGAGCTAATAGTTACTCCACTTCATTGCGCACTTTATTGCGCTGAGACGATCAGGAAACAATAAACCTGTCGGACAGCATTGCACCTGAAGGGAGGAACCTTCACAAACTGGTTTCACTGTTTACTCACAATATGCTGTCTATGTCAACATGTCCAATACACAAGCAACACACGTCTGCCTTGTAACTATAGAAGCGAGTGTAGAAACAGCCTTTAACCTGCCGTGCCAAGCTAGGGTATCCCCCCATCCCCTGCGTCGGGAGCGCGCACAGGGCAGGGAGCGCGGATCCACACGAAGTGTGAAGTTTTACTGAAACAGTGAAACACTAGTGTCGGTACGTCACGGCAGGAAATGATACATTTATTGTTCTCATGTGGATCATTTCAACAAACCGAGGACGGACGTCTGCGTTGACTCTCAGCGAGTAAACCCCCGTGTTCGTCTATAGAAACGCGTCTTGTTTGTCCATATTTTACATATGTGATCATCACTTAACAAGTTGTTAACCAACAACATGCAGCTCCAGTCATCGCTTGTAACATCAGCTCCAAAACGCCACGGCAAAAACCACAGGGTGACGTCACCTGTCTATGGGCGTTAGATTCATTAACAATTAAATACCATATAAATATTTTAAATACCAAATAATGTCAGACAATATTTTCACGGACCGGCCTTTAAGGCGGATAAATACAACAAAATGATACGACCGAGACAAAAACTCTGGTATTTTGTAAATATCATAATAAACGTGAATTCACTGTGTAATTGTGTAACTTTATTAGCAGCTTCCTCCTGAAATGGTCAACAACACTGAGTAACGTCCCCCTCTCCGCCCCTTAATGCTCTCTGGTCGCTATGGTAACGCGTGCATATTTCTTTCAAAATAAGACGCACAACTACAACACGGAAAAAACCCAGGGGAACAGAGTTAACGATAAAAACCCTGAAAACCATACATTTCACACCAGAGCCTCAACTCTCGCGGCCCGGTACCAGTCCGTGGCCCGGGGGTTGGGCAGCGCTGGTCTAAGGAGCTTGGAGGGAAAAGCGTCTGGACTTCTTTAAGTTGCTTGAAGACATTTCACCTCTCATCCGAGAAGCTTCTTCAGTTCTAAGGTCAAATGGTGGAAAGTCCCAAATGTAAGCCCTATGAGAGTGTCCCCCCAAGAGAGACAAAGGACCCCTTAATGATCCTCTTCAGGAATCTCACTGAACCTGAAAAGAAAGTGTTAGACAAAGGACTTAATTTTGCCATTTCTCCTCAACAGTTGCCCATAGTCAGTGTTGGGGAGTAACGGAATACATGTACCGCCGTTACGTATTTA